ATAAAAAAACTGTTCTTAAATCTATTTGTCTTGCAACGAGGCAAAGTGAAAGTGCGCGCGTGCCTTAGATTATAGTTGCTCTTATATGGAGGCGGCAACAACTTTCTTAGCTTGTGGTTCGGGTCGCTCATTATGCTTTTAAACATGCGCGTGCAAATGTTGTGGTGATGCTCCGCAACCGTTGGTAAACTCATAAGCGCAGTTAAAGCTTGCTGATATTCTATACCAGGACATATGATTCGCATTGCTCTTTTCTGAACGCGTTCTAATTCTTGCGAAAGGTAGGCTGGTAGCGCGTGATGAAAACTGGCGCAGCATAGTCAGTGAAGGAGCGCACGCATGTGATGTAAAAAAGGCATAAATCTCTCTGTGGAACACGAGCTCCTTTTAGCTGAACAATAAAATAGAGCCTCTTAGCTGCCTTCTTAGTAACTTCCGTGATGTGCGCATTCCATGTTAAGTCACCAGAGATAGTAACACCCAAAAGTTTAGCATCTTTAACTAATTTGATGCACTCCTCTCCTATGACTACTGGAGGAAAGTCACAATCTGATGTAAAACTAATGCGGAGCTCCTTGCATTTGTCTGTGTTTAACTTGACTCTGTTTCTGATTGACCAATTTACTACCTCATTTACAATACCTTGAGCCTCGCTATGCTGTCCTTTCTTTATTACCTCTGATGTTGTGGTGTCGTCTACATATTTCCAAATAGAAGCATTACTGACGGTTAATAAGTTTTATAACAGTCTGATTTCCAGCTACCCAACATTTGAATTTCGCGTCAGCAAGGCCAGCCAAAGAAGCAGATGTGGCGCCACCGATNGGAAAGTCACAATCTGATGTAAAACTAATGCGGAGCTCCTTGCATTTGTCTGTGTTTAACTTGACTCTGTTTCTGATTGACCAATTTACTACCTCATTTACAATACCTTGAGCCTCGCTATGCTGTCCTTTCTTTATTACCTCTGATGTTGTGGTGTCGTCTACATATTTCCAAATAGAAGCATTACTGACGGTTAATAAGTTTTATAACAGTCTGATTTCCAGCTACCCAACATTTGAATTTCGCGTCAGCAAGGCCAGCCAAAGAAGCAGATGTGGCGCCACCGATCCAAAAGCTGTGTGTGCCATAAGCTGTAGGATCTACACCAATGAGTCGCAGCAAGTGAGACACGAATGTTACTAGTTGTTGCTTGGTCAGGGCCTGATTATTCTCTAACAGGAAGAGCGGCGACTCCTCGGACATATTAGGGCGGCTCCGTTGAAGAGCAAGGTTAGATTTCATTGCGCAGGCTGGGCAGACTGAATGGTGTGTGTGAGTATATAAAGGGTCACTCCCTGGCCGGTCATTGGTCAGTTTTCGACTGTTTTATGTGCACCATCCAGTAGTGCTGACCGTCTGGGGACTGATGAGAAGTGACGTCACCGAGTGCGAGATTGCGTGAGAGCTCAAAGCGCTCCTTGTTGCATAACGTAAACTCTCCGGCGCGTAATAACAAGAAATGGCCACAGGTAATTGCCGCCCAGTAGACAATATCGTCGTTGGAGTAGAAGTTCACGAAGACATGAATTTTGCAGAGAAGATCAAAGGTAATCGGCATTTTCCGTTTTGGTGGGGCGAAATGATTCCTTTCAATACCGCGCAGAATTTGCTTCAGTCGGAGACAAGGAGTCAAGGGGTTGTCGTAACCATTAGAAACATGAAGAGAGCGAACAACGGCCAGATAAACATTAATGGACTGAGGCTTTATTCGCGCTGCCAGGGAGGTGACGAACAAGATTAACGCGTCTTCCGATGCCGGTAAGGGAGTAAGACCGTAATTATCACAGAAGCTGAGGAACTGTCGTTGGGCAGCGCCTTAAGTCCGGTGAGTAGAGTCCGCGAGACCAGAGCGAAAGTACTCCTTTGCATTTACATCAAGCCTGGCCAAGGGAACACGTGGCACAAACGTCCGTCTTTAGCTGGCCGTCAAACAAAGGCGATGGAACTTAGTTACCTGCAGACGAGAGAGGCATGCAGTCAGCAAAGCAATAAGTCACGCCAGGGATGTGTACAGCGCGTAACATGATGTTGTGTGAAGCGCAAACATAGAACAAATAACGCAACATAGACATGATATGCTTGCAACCAATGGTACCAGAGTAGAGGATGTGGACCACTGACTGATTGTCACAGGGAAATAACACGCTCCGAAAAGTAAGTGAAGGGGCCCATGTGGACACCGCTTCGGTAATAGCGTAAAGTTCCCTAAACGTAATGGACCTGGACAGGGGAATGCGATGATCCGTAAACGAACAAGAGAACTATCCACCAGCGAAATAGGCGCCAAAAGCTGCTTGGCTGGCGTCGGTGAAAAGGTCCAAGGAAGAATTAGACATCCATGCGTCCGCGTGAAAGAAACTACGGCCGTTCCACGAGATAAGAAAGGTCTGCCACCAGTGAATATCCTTACGAAAGGCGACGGTTAGGCGGATGCGATGAGAAGGGTGTGTGCATGTGGCCTTGGGGAGTAAGTCGATCATGCGGCGAAGAAAGATTCTTCCCGGGCGGCATACAGAACAAATAACTTGTAGCTTTCTAATCAGAGATTGCAATTCTAGCTTCATACAATGTTCAAGGGACGACCATTTATCCAGCATGTGTAAAGTTTCAGTTAGTCGAGCTTGGTCAAAGCGTGATTCCTGAGCAAGTGAGTCTAATTCAATTCCAAGGAGGATCAAGTTCGTGTTCGGTTGAACTGTTTTTTCAGCGCTGGTTTTGAAACCAAGCTCATCGCACGTTCTCAGCATAACATCAAGCGAATTCTGGCAGTGTGGAGCAGGAGAAGGCGGGCCGCAAGTCCAGAAATCGTCAAGATAGTTCCAAATGGGCGACACATCCTTAGACGACATGACAAACTTGAGCCCGTCGACGAATTTTAGAAAGAGAGCGGGCGAACTTCGAAGATCAAAAGGAAGAAAAGTGTCCAAGAAATAACCAGTAACAACGGTACCGTCAATCTTTACCGGCCATGTGCATCCGAGTAGTTCCCGGTCCCCATCATGAACAAGGATATGGCGAAAGGCGTCAGAGAGGTCCTGTTTACTCATAAGAGCACCAGGGCGAAAAGAAAGAGCATTTCATTCAATTTTATGCGACAAAGCTAAAACCGGTTTAACCGTTTCTAAAGACAGATCAGCATTCGCGCCGTTAGCCTGTTCCAGGCGTTCAGATAGTAGAGCGCGGGAGAAAAATTCACGAAGAAAAAAAAGAGGGGAGACTAGTGACCCCCCTCGTCCCCCCCCATTTTCCCGGTGTACAATTTAACTTGGTCCCCACTGTCCGCCGCGCTCTACTATCTGAATGCCTGGAACAGGCTATCGCGCCGTTCTTGCAGCAAGTTGTCGTTCTGGCAGTGGAGATAGTTTACTGTACACACTTTGTTTTCTGATATCTACAAAAACCTAAAACAAGCCCGACAACTATCATTAAGTTCAGAAAAAGACGCCCATTCCTGCAGGCTACGTGCTGTATGATTATTTTTTTTATACCGCTTATTACTGTAGTTAGAATCCAACTTCATCTCCAAAGGGTTGTGAAGTGGTGCTACAAACACGAGCCCATTGTTAAGAAAATGAAAGTACCCAGTCCCTGTTCATTTCTAAAATCTCAGTATCTCTTCCTGTTTCCTTATAATTAACCTGCAGAAAAGGTGCTAGTTTTTCTCGTTTCTCGGGCGAACGGCTTGGAATATAAAATTTCGAGGACGTTTTTGGACTTTTTACATTTAGGGCATGAATTTTTCGTCATTTCAGGCCATGGAACCTAAAAATGAGCCTAGCTAGCTGTAAAAAAGGGCAATACGGAGGCAAAACGTCCTCGCCGGCATGATCACATGCTGTTTACGGAAAATTCCCTCATTCATGTCAGGAAATTCTGTATTTTAAAGCCTCCCCTAGGGCATGACTCAGCAATTGAGGACATTTCTGCTACGTTTTCAATGTTGGTTAGCATGCAAGGATTTTTCCCATGCCTATCGTCAATGATTTGCTCACTGGTAATAGAGGGGGTGGCCCCAGAGTGGTTTTGCATTGAAATTGGCATGCAACAGAATTTCGCATGCCCTGTAAGCATAATTTGAGGTTCCGTGACCTTCTCACCCAGGCCGCGAGAAGCCTAGGTTCTAGTAATAAGTAATTCATACCCAGCAAAATCTCCGGCATGCCGGGCATGCCAAATTTTCTGGCATGCCCGGCATGCCAAATTCTCTGGCTTGCCGGGCGTGCCATAATCTGGGTCATGCCGGGCATGCCAAAATCGGTCTCTGGCATGCTCTCAACGCACAGGTTATAATTCCTTGAATCTACAGATATTTTAAGCCTGGCTAAAAAAAAAAAAAAAAAAAGCAGATCACAGTGCTTATCGTTTGATGTACGGTTTATAGGTCATTTACACGATGACGTCATTGCTATTCCTCTCATTTTTATAGATTTGGTTGTCCCAGCGAAGTTTAAATAACAAAGGCTCTAATTTTCACAAGAAAGTAAAACCCTGAGGGATTCTGCCGTAGTAATAAAACAGCGTCATCGTGGAGATGACCTGTTGGGGGATTGTAAAAACGGCCTCACCCCTTTTAATGAGTCTTTAATAGGATTCCCATTTCACATTGCGAATAAAATGGAATTGACTGAAATCATTAAAAATAGAGACAGAGACTATTTTCTTTGCATAATAAAATGCATCTATGTTCCATGAAAGCTTTTAAAAATACAAGGTTATAGAATATCTTTCAACGTTCATTACATTACAAACTGAGCTAAGCTCCAAAATCACTGTCCATTATTCAGTAAATTATGATGTTCGACAATGCAATGTGCTTGAATATAACGTTGCAATTACAAATCTCTCTAACGCAATTTTCCCTACGTTAGAAAAGCTGTTTTTGTCTTGTTTCATATTTTGATAAGGAGTCTGAGTTCCTCTTTCTTGTTTTGTAGGCTTGCCAGGGATTATTGTTTATGTGTCATTACCAGAGTCTGTGTTCTTTGTTTTTAACTCAAAATAAGTCAGTAATAACTGACAGTATCAAAGAATTGCTCTCTAGAAAAGTAATTATCTCCTCGTCATGTCTGGAAGTTACCTGTAACAAAAAAGAAATGGAATGTTAACACATGCAAGGGCAATATGAAAAAATGAAATAGAACGTGTAGAGCTCAGCTTCTCTTAAGATATTTTCATACTGGCTTGTTGAGTCTGTTAAAGGTCGCAACTAATTGTCTGAGGCTAATTTCACAAGGTGTGCAATTGAGATAAATGCATGGTAAATAAAGTGAAAGAAACGTGGTTTCACATTAGCCAATTTACATTGCGTTGTTCGATGATGTTTACACGCTCTTCTACTGCGAAATAAACCTTTGCATTTGGGTTTGCAAGTCAAGATTATCCCGAGTTTGACTGACACTCGAACAACAGTTTCATTTTTAAGCAGGGAAGGTGTAGACCCATATAAAGCAGGAATATGTAAAGGAAACTCATCGAAAACTTTTTCGCATCTTTGTGGCGATATTCTCTCATGGCCCGTCAACTGATTACTGGGGGTTGTGAAGAAAAAATACATTAGGACCAAAGGTTAAAGCCTGTCCTGTTACATCATTTTGCATGTTACCTAGAGTTCTAATAAATAGGTCATAAAATAGGATTTAACGAGAGCGAATTTGTTTCTTAATCGGTGTATAAAAAAAGTGAAGCTATCAAATGAGAAGTTTATAAAGTATCAAAATTATTAAATTAAAAGCTCAAATAATTAGGAAAATTCCTATACGAAAATAATGCTAGAGACATTAAATTGATCAGATAAAATTCTCAGAAAATATGTCGAATAAAAGCCTCATTGCTTGCTTTTGTTTTTGCGTAAAGGTAGCCAAGTTGAAAAAGCGACTAAATCTTAGTTTTTTACGTTGAACATGTTTATTAGCTTAGTTTTCGTCCGTTTTAAAAGCTTTATAACCCAATCATAATTTTCGGGTTAAAATAGTACAAAGTCATTTCAAAAACTATGTTTATTTAAAGAAGAGCCGGCAAACGTGAACATTTTGTAATTCAGAAATCGGACCCAGCCAGGTTATTTAAGCTTAGAATTTTTTGCATTTTAGCGTCCTATAAATTTACCAGAATCGCCTCTCAAAGGCTTACTGTAGTAAAGCATTTTGTAGTACACTCGTAGACAAGCAATGTAAGGCATAAGTGGTTGCTTGGATAAGACATCCAAAAGAAAAATTAGTTTTGTGGACCTAAACGCACATTCACAGACTGCTTATTGAGTTGTTTACAACTTTGCATTGACACCTGCAGCATGTTCATTTTTTTAAAGCGAAATCCAAATCTGATTTTGGCATTTGATTTACGGATATTTTATTTTGTCTCCAAAAGTGATTGGTTTCTATATTTTTGAAGTTTCCTCTAGTCTTCTTAACAGCAGAAGAAGATTACAAGACGTAGAAACAGAAACAATCCGAAGTGAACGAGTTGAAAACCACTTATGCCTGAGAGTTCTTAGGCATGCTGAACAGCAAGATAAACTGAATGCCAAAAGGATAATTCACGGGATTTTTTCGATATTCAGGCTTTTTCTTTACCAAATTAATACTAAATTTGTACTTACAGTCTCTCGCAGAATCCATTTCTTGTCCAGCATTCACCAACATCTCAACCATGCACCGCAGGAAAAAAAAAAAGACAAACAAGTGCGAAGAGACATGACGACATCGTGACGCCACAACTGCCACGCTACAACAAACTAAATTCATCGTCATCCGAAAACACTTCTGCGGAAATTCGGCCGATTTCGTGCGAGCTCGGGGTATCTTCGGATGGAGCAGATGACGTTGCTGAAAGGACTATCGTCAGCAAGGAGTAAAACAGTTTGCAAAATTCGCATAGCCGACAAGAAGCGCACTGAAAACCTAAGCAAAATCTCTCTGAGAAGGCAGTCCAAACTCACCAAATCAGAACGTCTTTGCAGTATTAACGTCGTACTCTCGTACTGACTTGAACGTCCTGGTAAGCTTAATTTTCACCAGTCTTTTAATGCTGTTGACCGAGAAACATATACTGACGGAGAAGATTTGTTATCTTATTGTTTAAAACGCTTTTCCGCGATCAAATTTAAATCTGGACCCAGAAATATCAGTATCGCTTTGAAATAAAAGGATTAATTGATCTGTAATTGCAAGTGAAGTATTCTATTTTATGCATGAATAATGTTGTTTTGTTGTGCTTTTTATTTATAAATCCAGGCTTCTGTCTTCAGTTTTGCCAGTCGATCCCGTGACATACATTGTGACAAACATAACTTTTTTTGTTATAATCTGCATTTATTGCCAGGCATGAAACCTGTAGCTTCAAGCTCCCTAAGATATATTTGGCGATTATGTGATTCTCAGGATATGATGCTGGAGCGAACATCAAAATCAGTCACGCTGGGCATGCCAATTTCATACCCGGCATGCCGAGCATGGCAAACCCAACTGGCTGCACGATCTGCATGCCCGGCATGCCAAACCAGACGAGCAAAAACTGGGAATGAATTATCAACCCGGCGAGAGATCTGGGACCTAAGTTTAGCTAAGTCAATTTTGGGCTGCGAGGGCATGAACCCATTTTTTCCATGCCTATGACATGTAATTTCTAAGTACCAATGTTCCCTTGAATTTTGTCATGCCTAAATATATAAAATTTTCCCTCTCTCATTAATCCTCAGACTGAATGCAATTTTTACGCTCGCTAGGCATGTTCAACTGAAAATCATGCCCATACCCTCATTCAAAACAAAATGCTATCAAATTTTAGTTTCCAAGCCGTTCGGGCGAGAAGCGTAAGACACGCGTGTGTCTGGTGCTCCTCGCTCGCTTCACGCTTGCCCTCCCTTGCTATCTTGTACGCTTACATGTAACCACTTCTCGGCCACTTTGCTCAGATTTGCTAATAAGACACTAACGGCTTTTTAAAATACTGTCAAAGATAATACTGACCGTGTACAATGATCATGACTTAGTTTAGATGATAGCATTATTTTGCGGTTTCATTGAGTCGTTTGCCTCGTCTCATTGATTCTCACCCTCTCTCATTTATTTTAAAATAAAGGTGAGGCAAAACAATCTACATTGCTGTTGGAGCAGTGCAGGGGGGGGGGGGGATTACGTTTCTGCGTTGGTGGGATTCGCCACTGCCTCATTTATCACTCTCCACACATCACACCGTAGGAAGTATGTATAGTGCGCATTATTTTGGAAAAATTAGAATAACGTCAAACCAGTGAATGTTGTAACGCAGATTTTTGACAGGTTCGTAGGAGGTTTGTCTTGAAATTTTAAGATGTTGCAGTGAATCAATCTCAATGAAAGTTTCAGACCTTGTTATATACATTATGAAGAATATGTGAAGAAATTTTTAAAACATTTGTGCTAGTCGTTTCAGAGATATACAAAAAAGCGCTAAAAGTCCAAATTCTGAATGAAGTTAACGTTGCACTTATACACGTGGTGAGAAAACGGGTTAGTTTTCAAGATCGCACATATGAGAACGGCAATACACCAAAATTTCTTAGCATCAAAATATGAGATTAAGCAGCATTCTGACGCTACTTAAGAATAATTTGAGTCATTCATAACGTTTTTGTTAAACAATCCATCACGGCTATTGAAAATTGAAGGTTTGAAATATATTTTCGTTTTAGTCGAATTACAACATACAGAATTTTTTACTTCTTACGGAGATTGTTTGCTAAACACCAAACTTTAAGTTCCTAGTGTTGGATTTTCAGTAGCTGGTCTAGATCACGCAAAATTCGGCTTTTATTAATTTCAAAGTTTTTTGTTTATTGTTGTCATAGTAATATCGATTTTACTTATAACTACATTTTCACAAATTTCAAGCCATACAACCGGCCATAGCTAATTACTGGTGACAATTTTATAGCGATCAGACAAGGAAAAAAACACTTCTAAGGCGTTTGAAAAATAGCGGTTTGACCTTTGAAAAACTGTATTAAAACACCTTAATTCGATCTAGAAGAAGTCTGTTGTTTATCCAGAAAAAACGAACAGGATCTAGCGTTAAGTTAATTACTAGCTTTCGTTTGGCACCAAAAGTAAATTAACCTAGATCAGTTTCTTTTTACTGCACCAAAACATATCTCCTTCTCTTAATGTGCTTACTGCCATTATCTGGAGCGGCTGTAGCCTCGTTTCCACATGAGGTGCTATGATCAGGTTCTCCTCCAGTGCCAAACCCAATTCTAGAGTCATAGGACTTGCAATTGTTTTCATTGTTACTAATGATACCGATCCTGGCTTTGGATTTGAGAGTACTAATAACCTGCAGTGTGCGTAACTAGAAAGCGATGGAAATAAACGGGTTCTAGAGTGTTTTCGGCTTTTACACGTTTACTGCTGCAAATGAGTCCACGATTCTAGGCCCCAAAGATTTTTTATTAAAATGTTTCCAGTCCAATACCCTAGTTTTCCCTGTTCGCAATTATGTAAAACAGCAATCTTTAGTTCACAAATCTACAATCTATCAACCTCGTCCCCAGGGCGCAGTTCCCTGTTGACAATCTATCAATAGAAAACATGTACTGAAGTTATTACTATATTTACCACTACTTATAATCTAGTACTGGCTTCAACGTTAGTGTGCAAACTGCAGCTCATAGAGATGAACTGTCAGATTGCCTGACCAATAAACACATAGAATGTGATCCTGATACAAGAAAAACTTCAACAAACAAAATTTTCTGTGTGGTGTTTTCTTTTTACTGCACCAAGATGTACCCCATGGCCTTGATCAGCGCGTTCAGTGCGATGTTTCCACATGTGTAGCGGCCGCAATCATACCACGCTCCAGTACCAAACCCAATTCTGGAGTAACAGTGACTTCTGCAGTAGGGTATAATGCTACCAAGGATACCGATTCTTGCGCTACCATAATACGACCCGTCAATCCCGGCGTTAAATCCTTCCCTGTTACAGTTGCACTGAAAGGAGGCACTAGAACCAATCAGCGACTTCCATGTGCGAGGACCCAGTGAGGTGCTGCGGTATTGCCCATCAGCGATCAGAGAGTACATGGAATTCGCCTGCTGGTTGACGACAATAAACCTGATCTGTTGGCCGATCTTCATACCGAGGCAGATCTTGGAGAAGGATGTGTTCCAGTAGGAGGGCAGTCTGGTCTCCTGTAAATCAAACCCAGTCGTCCCTCAATCAAGATTGAATGTTTTGTTGTTGCTCCAGAGGTCGGAATTGTAGTGAAAAGTTTGCTATGGTAGAAAGGAGGAAGAAATAGGAAAACTGTCCTTTAAAAAGAAAAGTTAAAATTAAGGATTATTTCTTCTAAAGACAACATCCTTACCGGAGAAGAAGAAAAAAAGATTTTGCAGTGAAAGATCCATTACAATGGAAAGAATATCTGGAACGTCCTCGCTTCTCCAGCTTTATAAAATGAAGTTAGCCACAGCTGGCGAAATGGCCTTAATGGTCACCGATGGAATACAAAGTAAACAAATACTGCACTCTTAATCGTTGATGCGATTAAAAAAATGCCGAATTGAATATAATTATCTTTAACTCTCACGTATTCGTTAGTACATAGACCAGGCTTCTGTGTTTTGATGAAAACCTTCATATCGTCTGACAGGAAGGGCGGATGACCTCTGCTACTGACCGAGATATTCCAGAAGCTTAAAGGTGTTCTTAATACTTAAATCTTTCAGATCCAGGGACTTAGCATGTACCAACGAGAAGAAAAGTTAGAGCGCCGAAGACGTCTCAAACTTGGAGGCTGGGGTTATGCTGCCCCAGAAAATTTTACAATTTTACGTCATTAGTATGGAATTTCTGTCGCTGAGGTGCAGACGTTCCTCCTGATGAAACGTCCCTAGCAACGAGGAGCAAGGAGAAACGGCTGTATTCGCAGGCTAGGATAATTGAAAATTACCACTGACAGAGGCAAACCTGTATTTAATTATTAATAACACATTTTTTTCGCCAAACTAAGGGAAAACGTACACAAATGTTTTACCTTGTTGCCGTCCATTTTCATGACCGGTGTCCATCCTCCATCTCCGCATCCAACATTTCCAAAGTGACAGACAAGTGAAACTGGTCTGGAGTCAAGGAGGAGAGTGACCAACTGAGTCACGTTTAACCTGTACAAAATGAAATCTCATTTCAATTTTTTCAGCTCCGAACTGAAGCGCTACGCAGGCTATTTATCTATGGTTTTATACACTGGCAAAGACGGAGATATGATAGCGGTAGTCGAAGAACTTTTTCACAGGTATACAACGGGCAATAAATAGTAATTGTAGGCATCAACAAAAGTGGCTGGTAAAAGGATGTATGTCATGGTATCATGCTGTGGGACGTCGTGGTCTTGAAGGTGTTAAGACAAAATTCACTAGGAAAGGGCAAAGCGACTAAATAAAACAGTGAAGCATCAATTAATAATAGTTTTCTTGCTCTTGCAGTGATGACTAATTAAGTTCGTCAGTCAAGGAAGACAGAAGAACACAAGACACAAGAACTGCGTAGGAGAGTAGCTGGGGGACTCAATTGAAGGTAGCTAGTAAGCTGAAGGTTTACTTACGACACCACCATCATCGCATTTACCGGGAACAACTTCGAACAATTACAATCGAAATAACATAATGACAGCTGATAAATCACTTATATTTGGATCTCACTCAGACGGGCAAAACAAGCACAGTTCGGGCGCATTCAACTGCACCGACTTATGTCGTTATTTTAAGAACCTAAAAAGTAAACTTTGTAATTTTTACTCACATTTTCTTGTCAAAAAGATCCTTACACGACGAAACTATGCAACAAAATAAACAAGGGGGTAAAGCTTGAAGAAAACAAGCATTATTAGAGACATGCACAGTCTAAATATTCACATTAAAGTAACCGATTGAACCGAATTACAACCAGACAGAACTGACCCAAACTACACGATCTAGCGACTTCCCTTAACTCTTTTGGTCGACGTCTAGCCGGGCATAATAATCGGCGTATATCCCGGCACCCAATAAGGACGAAACAACTGTCCATGCAGCTGCCACTGCCAGGGTATGGTTGTGCGCATGCGTAAGGTAATGGCCATACCATAGAAAATCGCGGAGTTGGTACGTGTGCTTCAGTGCTTAAATTGATATTATTCTCTACAAAACCGATAAACGATAATACAAGAACAGATGAGAAGAAAAAATTAGTCCTCTTAATCAAAATAAACACTCCCGCTCATAGCGACGAGAATTGGTTTCTCTCTTATGGTTTCAAAATTTATTCTCTCATTCTCGTTTGGTTTGTTTTCTTCTTATTTCAACTTTTAGCATGATTCTTTTAAAAAGATACCTTTAATATCAAAAATAACTTCCCAACCATTTTTGGTTTTTGTGTGTCCATATTCTATATCAAGAGCAATCATGGCTCTTGTCTATATATAAAAATACCGCCGTTTAATCATCATAGAATAATGGCCAAGTAAATTGTACTTTTTGCACTGAGTGATTTAACGGTATTGTCTGCTAACATAGTTTTTCAAAAAACTTCTGAGTTGAAACGAAGCCTGCCATCTCACCTGGTTCACAATTCTTTCCATCTCCGTAATATCCCGGATGACAAGTGCAGTTGTATCCTCCCTCGGTATTATTGCAGTAGGCATTGGCACCGCACTTGTGGGTATTTTTTGCGCATTCGTCAATGTCTACAAAAACAGATTATAATTAGTCCATTAGATGGAGAAACTCGCCAAAATGCAAGGTTGGCTGAAAGCTTTTGCTGTAGAGCCTAATGGCCGGAACACAAGATGGCGAACCTAAATTTAAAAATGGCCACAACCATGCATTGGACATAAATACCCTTCAGGAGCCTATACTTCATGAGAAAGAAAACGAAAAATCACAAGAAAAACATTGAGGTTCCAGACTTAGCCTAGATCAGGCTTCTTAGAGGAGAAAAGGGGCGAATAGCAAGCTGTTCACACCATTAGTCGCTTTTTTCTTCCTACTAAGGAACCTGATTCCAGGCCGATCCACATTTGAGGCTAAGAAATTAATAAAAGTAAACGCCAAATGCTACTTACCAGTGTCACAGAGAAGAAGGTTCATTAAATTGGTGATCTGTCAACAGTTTAACTTTCTTTATACCACTGAAACATTTGCCAGATAGAGACAAATATGTGATTTTCCTTCAAACAATACACATCTTTCCCTGTTAGCAGAGGCCTAGAGTTTTTCCCTGGTATTCGGGATACCAGATGCTACCAGGGAATACACCTCTTTCACTATTCTATGTTTATTATAAGGGACAAAAAAGACTAAGAATTTACCTAGTTCACATTTTTCTCTACTCCATTGCAGATTGCATGAGCAAGCGAAAGCGTCTTTTTCTTTGCCGAATAAACAATAACCTCCGTTGAGGCATCCAGCCATCAGACAACCCTGCAGAAAATCACATTTTACTTGGGTAAGCAAAAGTTGTTTTCCATCGACTTCCTGAAGCTTTTTACACTAGCAAATGTTTTAGGGCAAAAACGTTCGACTTCATGTCATCCTTGCAGTGCGTACTGATCTCTCACTTTTTGACAAGATCCTTTTTTAGGCGCAGTGCAAATCATATCTGTACAATATATACTTTGAACTTAGAAACCAAAATAACATTTCTATAAATTACAAACTCGACGGACTCTCTTTGAATTTTTGAATTGCACTGCACATTTTTCTTAACTGTAATTTAAAAACAAATGAACCAATTGAAGTCAAGAATACATAGCCGTCAATAACATTAAAAAATTGTCGCATATTGAAACTGGTAGCAAATGGACTCAGAGTTAGACTCGCTCCAATTCAAGATATATCCCCGCTTTGGATGCCATTTTTGATAAATGCATCCTAATAAAACTCAAATTTACTGTTTTTTCCACCAGAACATATGTGTATTAGTTAAAATTTATTTGAGCGCAGTTCTTATATCGCGTACGTTAACGTTGTTGAAAAACCTCTCTTCGACTCACCTTAAGAAACATTGAAAACGTCTGCCCGTATTATCGGTGAGCTTGGTGTCATCATCTGCAGTTATTGAAAACTCGTGCTTGTTCAGTTCACAATTGCTTGAGGACTCTTTAAAGTTAGATGAAGTACACCAAGAATGCCTTAAACAAGCTTGACTGCATGCCATTTCATCCGTAGAATCGATTCTCTTTACAGCATAGCCATGTAAACGTTTGTTATCTTGGGCTACTATGTAGGAAGATCTAGATTCTTCTTCGGCCGCCAAAACTGCTCCAAAGATGAAGCAGAATATGACTGAGCAAATCATTTTATCCGGCCACCTCTGCAATCTCATAGCGCCGTTTTCATCAACAGGGTGTGTGTGTAACAGAGCGATAAAAGCGAAGTTTTCTCAGGTAGAATTTGCAAGGAACCCTAATATAGTAATTGTTAATAATAGCATGCTAAATTTATTAATAAATTTGAGCTCGATTGACTTGTGCGTTGTCAGTGACGTGTTCTGTCAAAAGCAAAGACAGCGTAAATGATCTAATAGACGGTCACTCTCAAATAAAGTTTGTATTAGACTTCCCTAAATGCACACTGTCTAATTTCGCAGCTGAAAGGAATTAAGCTATATTCTGATGCAATGTTGCTCTTAACGTAATATTCTAACGAAAAGTTTCCACAATTGTGGCGTTTGTTAAAAACAATTTTTCAAAATGTCCAGCCTCAAAAATTACGAAATATCACTCGAACACTAAAACGTTATCATAAATACATATTGCCAGATAGTTAGAATTAAATGACTAAAATTCATAAATGGCTGAGGTGTCCAAAGAAAAAAATTGAGCAGGTGAAAATCATCAATTTGATAGTTTCAAACTGAGAGAGTATGTGTCGATGATAAGCTGTCCATGGACGTAAGGATAGAGTTTAATATTCACCAGCAAAAAAATACTACGTAA